ATGTCAAATTTTATAATATGTTTTTGAGACAACAAAATAAAGTAACACAAAAAGCGACGCCTATCGGAAGGAGGTTGAAGTGTCTTTATGTTTACTACCTAACTAAACCGCACATATGACAAAGAGCGCCAGGACAAATGTGCGGCAAATTAATCCTAGGTTTCTATTAGGCCACAGCAAGTACATTTTCTGGATGACATCCTCCGTAGACTCCAAATCTAATGCGATAGGGCGGAAAAAAACAGGGCGGGCCAAAAAATAACTAAAGGTTCCTACATTCTCAAGCTTTGACATCATAAATCTTGTTAAACAAGAAAGGATACCTATACTGTGCTAGGTTTTACTGCCAACTATTACAGCATCCATTTGTCACTGAAAAATAGAAGTTTTCAATCACTGTGCATATGGTTTTGAATCAGTGAACATCACATATTATAAAGGAATGAAATACATCACTGCATCAACGTAAAAGACAAAACAATGAATCATGACGTTGTCCTGTATCCTCTCCGTATTTTGATGATCTGCCATCCACGTTCCGGCATGGCATCAGACATCTTTGCCCATTTTCGGCATGTTAACCACTGTCAGGAGGCAACAGAATTTCTTTTTTTGTTGTTGTTTTGTTGTTGTTGTTGTTTTTTTTTTTAATCAAAATCAGGCGAAAATTACTGCGCACGCTGATGTCATCCATAAAAATTACTTGGTGTGGCCTTACCACATTCCGACACCGGAAAACAACAGTAACTGATACCACGACCTTGGTACAGCAGTAAAACTGCACACAACAGAATGCCATATATCATGGCGAAAGGGCAGGGTTGTTGTTGCGTACTGGCGATATTTGTGGTAACGTCTTCAGTTAATACCGATTGAAGTTCTGGGCACCTTCTTCCATGAAAATCAAGTCGACAAGTTATATCACCGTTAGAGCGAACTAATCTCCAAGCAGATCTGAGAAGGCTGCAAGACTCTTTCTTACACAGGGCAATATGCCTGTACAACAAGTCTTCGCAGCAAGACTCTTAGGACTCTCTGGTCTTTACTTTAGTGCCCATGTGAGGCTTTTTGTAATGTTTTTGTTTCGTGTGTTAGTATATGGATTGTAATGTTAATTTGTATTTGCCAGAAAATCAACTGTAAAAAATACAATGTTATTCAGCATGTTCTTGTACAGGCTGTGAGGCTAGTTTTAGTGTTCATTGGCTTGCGCAAAAAAAGAATACTAGTACAAATAACACGTAAAACACGTAAAACACGTAAAAAAAAGTTCGACGTCATGCGCCAAAACCTCTGCTTTAAAGAGTAGGCGCAGAGTAATAATAACATATTCCGCCACCCGAAACCAACAGCAACAATGACACAGTAAAGCTGATACCACGGCCTTGGTACAGCACACAAAAGCCATCATGGCGAGAGGGAAAGGGCAGGGTTGTTGTTGTGCACTGGCGATACTTGTTAGCCTTGCCATAGTTGCAGTGGCAGTGTTTTTGGGCGTTAAGTTTGTTACGTCGGCCTTAGCCTCTGATTCTGCCCAAGAGAACCTGGTCAACGCCACTAGTCCCCTGTCTACCGCCACACCACCGACCACACCCAGCGGTCAAGTGGGTAAGTGTGATGCCGTCACTATCAGGCCATAATTACCAGATTTTGACATATGTGAGACATTTTATGAAGATTTTTATGTATGTCAGACATTTTATGAAGTTTTGCGTTGTTTGACGGTCACGCCAAAGACAGTAAAAAGCCAAGGATCACTCCGATACTTATAATATTGTCACACCTGTACACATATGGGCGGAACAGTATGGTAAAACTCTGGGTACACTACATCGAAGTAATTAAAACCCCCGCTTAAGAATTAAGCAGGATTATCTGAACCCTGGTAGGTGGCAAACGTTGTTTTAAGACCCTAGCTTTTTTGTGTCCCCTGCAAGGGACATACATTTTTTTGAGCTGATCGACCTTTTCTAGCTCCACGATCTGACACCTGAGTGATGAAATGTTGTGTATGTGAAATGGCTCGCGAGTACCTGATTTGGTACTCTATGATTTGGCTCATGCAGAGTTTCGGGCCCTCTTAGTTTATAATAAGCAGACGAAACCATGAATATTCCAAAGAATCCAGTGTCGTCATATTTGAGCTTTTCGCTCAAGTATACAGTAATAGGTAAAGGAATTACTTTATTTTAACATAAGACAGGTACCTTGACGTTGCAAAAAGTATTCATGTTCAACTCTAACCCTGAGTAAAATGTCCGGTATTTGCTTAGTACGTGTTTGGGTTGTTTTTCAGACTGCAGTAGCCGTAACGCTTCCTGTGGGGAATGTATCGGAGACGTGAAGGTGGGTGCAGAGGGTTACAAATGCCGGATATGCACTGCGTTGTGCGGTGCTGTCTGTATTCATTACCTTCGCCATGGCGTTTGTCCGTTTGTCTGTCTGTTTGTTTGTTTGTTTGTTTGTTTGTTTGTGAACAGCATACCTCAAGAAGGTATGAATATAGTCTAGTTTGGAATCTGTCTGTTTCACACGTTACAGGAACTATTGATATATGCGGTAGTTAAATTGTTTCACGCAATAGTATGACCAACTGTGTGCAAATAAATACATTTATCACAAAAACAGCAATTTGATAATCAAAGAAATCCATGCATAGCTTCTTGAGTTTTCTTGCTAAACATACAATCATACATATACACGGCAGTGTAAACACTTACACACATACAAACTCTACCGAAAACTTCTTTGAGGTATTAAATGAACAAAAAGAAACTGACACACTGTTGTTTCCGTTCATTCTTCAGTGTTATTTCTGCTACAAGGACAACTCCTGCCGTCTGTACCCGGCCTCGGCCGTTTTACCCACGGATGAGTGTCCGCTGGCTCAGGTTCGGTGGGGAGCCACCTGTAATGGTAGGTACCACCATGCGGATGTTTATAGAACTGCACCAATAATACCGTGTACCAGAAAGGCAGTTCCTGATCGTGTTGTAGGAATAGCCTCCACCAGGCCTTCCTAAGGGGGTTATGATTGGCAAATGAACTCCACTATTTGGCTAAATTTTACTGTTTTTGAACCCGCGTTGTTATAATCTAGTAGGGACTATCGTAGGAACGCGTTGATTTGGGTCTGACTGTCATACGTATGTATTTGATGTTCGCTTTCCCATATCCTGACAACGGTTGTATTTGGTACGTCTGTAATATTAGTAATAGATGTGTGTACATTTTGAAAATTTGCTCCATTTTCCCTTTTCAGTCAGTTTTGAGGTCCTTGTGATCGCCGTGGCCATAGTTGGCGGAGTTCTCGTGCTGGCGCTGTGCTGCTGCTGCTGTTGTTGCTGCTGCTGTGGCGGCGGGTCAGTGTCAATTTACGAACCTTTGTAGACTTCTTATTACTAGCTATATAGTCTCTTAACGTCCGAACTTGAACCTGGGCCGCACATTACAGAAAAAGTGGGCTCTTTCGTCTTCCTCTGTCTCCGAAAGAGAGGTCAAACCCGGTAGATTTAGGAGTTACCATGGTTGTGTCTAGTTATGTATTACTTTTTTGTACTTGCATGCTCGTTTTGTTAGCCTCTACCAGGCTTGAGGGCGCGGCGCTGGAAATAGTAGAAATTGGCCAAATAGAGAGATAACACGCCGAGGGAGTCTAGCCATCCAGTTTACAGTTTGCCGGCAAACTGTAAACTGGATGGCTAAACTCCCTCTGTGTGTTATCTCTCTATTTGGGCTACCTTTTGTATTTCCAATATTAACCCTCGGGCATGAGTTTTCAATAAACAATTGGTCTCACTGAAAACTATTTGACACACCAAACCTTATGTCCAACCCTTTTCGTTTCTCATCAGATAACAACTAGCTTTAGAGTTGTAGGATGGAAATAACTTAACCCGAAATCAGCACTGCTGCCTGGGTATAGTCCATTGTGTTGTTACGTTGCAATCAAACAAATAAGTGGGCAGATAGAACTGCGATGTAAGGGAATTGGTCATTGGGAAACTTTTTAGCCACGTTAAGGTCGCGTTTATGCTAGACTAGCCTTAACAATGCTTACGAATTTTGCAGTGATGATGGAGGCCATACTTGGATGGATTTTAAATGGGCCCGCGACAACCGCGCTAACCAGATGAACCCCAACAACTGGCGCTTCTGGAGCTCCCGTGGTTATTGATAAACTCTAGTAATTCAATGCAGGTGTCAAGCCGGCCAGGTTTTTATTGCTCCTGCCAAATGTTTGCCTCGACACTACTTGTGATTTGTTTTCAATGCTGTAATATATTCGCAGTTTTCGCGGTCACTTCTTTACTGCTAACTTATCATTACCGTGGACAAATAATTCGCCGACTTTCTTTCTGCTCCACCTAGCTGCCACCACCGTGAATGTATACAATGTAGTTCCGCGAACATTGTCCATTTTCTCAGACCGCGAACTTTTGCTACCGCTAACATACAGTATATCCGAGACAAGGGGTTGGAGAAAGTTGATCGTACATTGCTTGGAGGCTAACCCCAATCCTAAGCCTCAGTCCTCACATTAACCAAAACTTCCAGGCACGCGCACTATGTATACCCCACGTACGGGGCAAAAATCTGGCGGAGCAGAAATTTGGCTTGACACCTGTCCACTGAGGCGGAAACAATAGACCGATCCTGAATGTCCATCGCTGAATTAAAAGTTCCACCAATGAGAGAACGGCAATTATCGGTTCAACCAATGAGAGAGTGGCAAATATTTGCATTTTTTATGTTTTGACGGAAGTGGGCGGGGCTGCGGGATCGGTCTATTGGCATGATTCCAGGGTTGTAGGATAGGGGGAGGACTGGAACATGCCAGTGAACATTGGTTTTCTGTTGTTGTTATTCTTGCAAATATTTTTTTCTGTTGTTGTTATTCTTGCAAATATTTTTTTCTGTTGTTGTTATTCTTGCAAATATTTTTTTCTTACATACACGTACACCCTCAGCCCAACCCTTATGGTGGTGTTGGAGGATAAGTTTGGTAAAGTTTTATCACGATGTACTAGTACTGTATTTGGCTTTGTTTGGCAAGTTTAATAATGGCATCACAAACACTGGTGAAATAAGAAAAGCATTGAAATCTTCATAAAATAAGGCAAAAGAGAATTCAAACTTTCTCTGAAAGGCTATGAATATATAAAGTCTAGGACTGTATTATTATAATCTGGAGGAACTACAAACTATCTGACTCTGATGAGCTACTGTTTTTAAAAGTCACGTGCTTACAAGTCAGTCAGAAGCAATGGATTCAACAATTCCTTGACAAAAGACTACAGTCGCACAGTCACAAAAAATGTGGGTACTAATTTCGTCCTACTAGTGTTTCCTTCAAAGCTTTATCTCTAATATTTTGCTGACGTATCGTATACTATTTATATCGCTCTTCTATAAGTTTGTTTGTTTGTTTGTTTGTTTGTTTCATTGGTTGGTTCTGAATCACGACAGACGCTTGTGTGGTGGTTGTTTGTGTTCCGCATACTCCATGATGTAGGCGGTTGCCGCTGTTGCTCCTTGCTGTAAATTGGATAGAAAGAAGGGAGATACAATATTTCAGTGCATATCAATTTTGTCTCTACATACAGATTTTGTGTCCTTGTAGTGACTACCCTGGTGTCCATGCCAGTCTATCGCGTTGGGACGGGTTTTCTTCGGGGCTGCAGGAGCCCTCCCCCGCCTGCCTGAGCTAGGTTCCCCGGTAGCTTTTGCTCGGCGGGAGTTTGATTAGTGACCACATCACTAATCAACTCCCGTCGTGCCAAAGTCTATCACAGGGGCAACACTCCTATACCGGGCGATCTGTTCAGCTGAGCCCCGAAGACAGCCTGCCCCAACCACGACAGACTCAGGCGATATAGTGGCAAGTAAACTATCGTATCAAGAAAACGTATAAGAAACACACTTGGTGTGAAAGGTAGCGTGGACACATCGAATAAATCAAAATGTTTTAAAGGAGAGTTTCTCCTAAACATCTTGCTCCATGCTCTATCAAACAATGACACTGAATAAAAGAATGTGTTTTGCTTCTTCTGTGTGTTCTTGTTAGATTTCTGTTTATAGGACTTACTGCCATGAGAAACTCCATGTCTGTCGGAGTCATGTCAAAGTCCATGGTAGAGAGATAGTCCACGTCCACCCCGATACACCGGTCTATGTCCTTCTCCTGTGTTCAACAGAAACATAATGTACACATGCATTTCAAGCTATAAAGTTAAGAAAATATAATTTTTATGAATGCTTTCAAAAATACATAATTTCCCATACACTAGCTGTCACCTTGGTTATTACCATTTAAAACATGTGCAATTTACCAGTTTATATAATTATCAATCCATCTGCATATAGGGAGAGAAATGTCGAAAGTATGTAAAAAGTATGTCGAAAGTATGTCTAAAAGTAAGATTCTGCTCACACACACCGGTCACATCATAGGCACAACAAACTAAATTCTAGTACATACAGAGAGCTGGTTCTTGCTGCCAACAAAGTCCAGGAGAGTTCCGTAGTACTGCCCGGTCGACTCGACAGGCCTCGCGCCCAGGATCCTCCTCTTCGCCAACCTGTAGAGGTGCGTAGTTCTCGTACATGTTCTTCACTCTTCCCACCGTCAGCTGCGCGATGTCCATGGGTGTTGTTTGTTGTGGACATGGAGTAGTACATGATATGTTACTATGCGTTCTGTCACAGCAGACAATAGTCACACATTTCTACACATATGTAGACACTTAAACAGTACATTAAAAAAAATAACTTCACCAAAGGAAGCTGCCGCAGGCCCATAAACTCATGCCACGCCCAAATCTAATAATTTCGAGGTCTCATGAAGACCTATAAACCTATCAGGTTTCATAACATAGCTTCTTGAGTTAACGTTACACGACACGCATACTATCACATACACGCAAACATTCACATACATACATACATACATACATACATACATACATACATACATACATACATACATACATACAAACAGTTGTCACAGTCATAACCTTCTTGGAGAAGGACTAAGCTACAGTTACACTGTAACAGTAAGATATCCTTTCTCTGATTACCTTTCCAAAGACGTCCAGAAACAATATCTCAAATGCTTCCTCCTTTGTGGTTACCTGCATCGCCTTTATGTCGTCGTCCGTTACGATCTGAAAGAGATAGAATCTCACTCAGGACGTGAAAAAGCACCAGTAACACAGTATAACGGATAGTTCACATGGCGGTGCTATTGTATTTCACTCCATGCCAGGTATGGATGAAATATATTGTTTTTTTCTCATTTTCTTTTCCTTGTCTTTCTTCCCTGCCATTTCGTTAAATGGATTCAACTTCTTCATTTTTGTCCCCAATGGTTTGAAATTTCTTATAGAGTTTATTTCTAATAGTTGTAGCCGACCTTAAAGAATTCACGCCTTGCTTCCTCGATTGTGATTTTTGGTTGTATTGGCGTTGTTGGATCGGCGGCCATGACTACTGGTGATTCAGGTTCACCCCAATTCGGGAAATCTTCACCCTGGAAGAACATCAAAAGTAGAAAAAAACATTCAGGCAAAGGATTAAATCTCATGTTAAATGTTTTAGGTGAAATCATAAGAGCTGTATTGCTATAGATGTTTGATGACTTAAATATATTCATCAATATATCATCGATATTATTTATCATATAGCAACTTTCCCATTAGATTGGCAGTTAAAATGCACACTGTATAGTAGCATAGCAAAACGGTCCAAAAAAGGATTTTAGAAAAAAATGAAAACGTACTCCTTTCGCCAGAGTTGGGGTCGGGGGAATATCAATAGTGCCTCCGTCTATGACGTCACATCCGGCAATCAGCTCGATCAACTTCTTCATCCGGTCTTCAACCAGAGCCTCGAACGATTTTATCCCAGCGTCCCTCGCGGCTCGCTGCCGGCGGAGATGCTCGTCATATGTCCTGATAAAAAAATATACAGAATTAGATACTAGCGTTTTCCTGAGGTGAAATATTGATTAACATCCACTGTATCAAAATCACCCACGTTACCTCCCAAAAAGTGAGGATATGCACGGTAGAGCGCTGAGGTCTAAAGACAAAAATCTCTCAATTCAGATGCAGAACCTCTAGGTTTAGGAACACCGCGATGCCGTTTCTAGTCTAGGTACTGAATGCCTAATCTCGTCCGCTCGTCTAGATATAAACGTGACATAATGGTGTAGATACCAAATCCTGACAGTGTGTGAATCGTATACGTCAATTTTTGTAGCTGCATTGGCATGCCATCTATTGTGTCTAATGTCATCCATTCATTCGTTAATTCATCCATTCAGTCACATATAAAGCGTGTTTTATCGACCAATGCTTATAGAACTGTAAGGTACCTGGCCTTCTCTGTGTCAGGCCTACTCTTTTTGAAGCTGGAGTCTTTCCTCATTAAACCCCTCAGACGCTCCTCGAACTGATCCTGGTAGATCTCCCGGTCTGAGTTGGAAAACTGGACAAAAACAACAAAAACAATTATTTTTACATCTCAGCTTCAGTTTTCAGACTCATTATGTCTGTTACTGTGGTGCCATCGTTGCTCAAATCAATGCTCAACTGTGGAGCAAAATCACTTCATCGGCGTGGCATGAAAAGGAAAGCAAAATTACAAATTGTTTTAAAGAATCAGATCAACGTTACATTGACTGTGCCCGACACCTGTACCTAGATCGTTTTTTTTTTCAATTTACTTTCAACTTTCCACCAACACAAAGGTCACCAAACTTTTTTTCACCTGACTGAAGTGAGGAAAGCCGTTCCCAAGGGCACAAGATCGGTGGCATGACGTGATCAGATTCAAACTCAGGACCTCTTGGTTCTGAGCCGAACGCTCTTGGTTCTGAGCCGAACGCTCTGTTCTTATGACACACACGACCCCATCTACATGTAGATCGTAGCTGATTCTGGAAGTACTTAACCAGATAACAGGAACTTACGATCAGAACGCCGAGAGTTTTCTCAAACTGCTGCGGTCCTTGGCTCTCAAACCGTTCCCATCGGTACTCGGGGTAGAACACCCTCCGTATGCGTCTGTCACCTTTCTCCTCCAGGTAGTTGAGACGCTTGTAGAAGGTGTCCGCCTTGTTCATGGACAAGTACCAACCTAAACAGATTTGGACTGATTGTTAGGCCACACCGACTTAATTTTGTGGATGACATCCACTCGCGCATTGATTTTTGCCTGTCGTCAAAAAAAAAAAAGATCACGTCCTCGATCGGAGGCTCTGGCCTGGCTCTAGTAGTCTGTGCTAGGCGGAGGCCGGCGGTAACTCTTGAGGATAGCACCCAGGCTACCGAAGCTCCACGACTCAAGATCTCAGATTTGCTGTTAAACCGCACAGCTGCATTTGTAAGCCGTTCGTACACTTTTAGAAGGCAGAAGTGCTGCCAACCAGAAGGTTGACGTATAATTAGAGGACGTGGAATTACTACGATATATCAAGTACAGTAAAGGTAACGGCAAGAAGAATTTTTGAGTAAAAGGTTTCCACTTATATACCGCTGAAGTAGTGTCCAGACACGGCGCCAGCTCAAACACTGCTGGTTTCCAAAATGCCATACCCTCGTGGGACATGTGAATATATGGTTTACACCTAAATTAAGGACCTGTAAGCACCTTAACATGTTGTTAAGGAGAAAAATTCCCCCGAATTTCTATAACACAATTGCTCTCAGACTGGTAAAAGAGCCAGTAAAGTAGAAAACCTGTCGTTAAAAGAAATCTTTAAAATGTTTTACACAACAGGTGCACCAAAGCATGTCTACATAAGAAGCACTACATTAACCCTATAACTATTTCTAAGGCAACTCTTCAGTCACCTTTCAAAATCATTTATAGCCTCCAACAGGAGGCAAATTGAAGTTGCTAAAGCGTCACTTTTCCAGCTTCCAAAACAAATAAATGAGGACTGATGGACTCTATTGAAATGCATGTTGCTGAGAATCCCATTAGTGCAGTAACCTGGCAATGGCACTAAACATAAGGCAGTTTGCACTTGTTCTTTGGCCGTGTGGGAACTTCATTATCTCGCTAGAGCTGCGTCTGAAAAGGAATGGAGAACTCGTGACTCCGCGGGGGAGAATACTGAGAGTGTACAGAAATACGATACTGCAAGTAAACGGTATTTTGTTGTTGTAGTAGTAGTTAGGCCACACCGTCTTAATTTTATGGATGACATCCACGTACGCATTGATTTTCGCCTGTTCTCAAAAAAGGCTCTGGCCTGGCTCTAGGCCTGGGTAGTCCATGGTAGTTGGCGACAATACGGAGCCGGGCACCCAGGCTACCGAAGCTCCACGACTCACGAACTCAGTACATACGTACAGTGCCGATTGATAAATGTCGCAAAAAGCCAGCACGTGCCGGCTTGTCGTATACGTTGCTACGTACTGTCACAAATTCACAATACCAGCTAAATTGTATACAGTGGTTTTTAGTAGGATTTTTATTTTTGGCCGGAATTTTTTTTTATTCGCCCGCGCGCACTAGTTTGGGGGTCTTCAGAGGATGTCATCCATAGAATTACGTCGGTGTGGCCTTACCAAGAATATAGAAAATGAAAACACATTCAAATACGTATACTCAATGGCATGAAACAGTGGCTTCCAGCTACACGATATGCCACTGTTAAAACGCATCACAACAACAAGTGATTACGTGCAAAGCTTACTAGCTTACGTATCACACACGAGTACAGAATACATCTATACACAATTACCGAATCATGATTGGGTATCCAGAATCACGATGCATCTTTATGGTTGTATGATGATGATGACATGTTAAAATCGAATTCTGCCAAAGGATAGGACTTTCGCACATGTAATTTGAGTAGAGAAGGCCATTAATTAACAAGATTATTCTCAGTACAAAATTCACAAAAGTTCTAAATATTATCTGGATGTGTCTAAAACTTTGTTCTTGCTTACCAGATGACCATGTAGCAATGAAAGCTTCTATATTTACCATCGAAAGCGTAGAGTGGGAAGTTGGCCGCCAATCCGCCATCGATGTAGGTGAAGAGATTTTGCAGTGTATATGGCTGGAACACCACTACGGAAAAAAGTTCTTTGTGAAACCAAGGGAACACAGAAAAACGGACAATGCAACTTGTATATACACCAAACCATTCTTCAGTATATGAATGGCAAGAACACCAATATTCGTGGCCGAAGAAAATATGACAACAGATACTAGTGCCTTTGACCCATTGTTGACGTCACACTTCAAAGAAGCCACGTGACAAGTCTCACTGGGTCTGTCTACTGAGGAAGACCAGAGTGACTGGTCGAAAGCTCTAGGTGACAGAATTTCTTTGTGTTGGATCAAACTTAACATGTAACCTTAACTACCAACACAGAACTTTTGTGATAAAATACAGTATAGTCAAATGCTAATGCTCTATCTGGATATTTAACCTTCACCGGCATTTTAGGCGAAAGAACTAGCTTGGCACCCCCCTACCTGGGATTGACATGGACATGCGCACTGCCTCCCGGACCCTGAGAACGGGCGTGGTCTTGACGTGGAAGTAGGACTCCCGGTTATAGTTCATGTTGTAGGCTACAATACACAGCTCCTTCCCGAGAACATGGTAGATCTGAGACAATAACAGAAAGCGTCATTTATCAATTATTTCTACACAATTGCTGATTAACACAGTGAAAGATGACATTTTAGCCAAATCGCATTTGGCACCTGGAAATCATGTCTAGCGGAAAATGACGTAAAACCGTTTGAGGGACAACAACAACAACATTTCAAATAGATGAAATAAAAAAAATTGTATATAGACGGTTCTTTCAATGAGGTCCTTTGGTTCTTTCAATACACTCTGTCTTATAAACCGCCTCGGTTCTCGGCAATATTGTGATTGAACTACAAGGGAGGATGGAGTCGATCATTTAACATTGCCTTTTGCACTGTTGCCTTTTGAACCTACTCTGGCTCGCATGCACAGTTTCTGTGCTGTACTACGGTGGGACTGAGCTGTGTTGAGCTGCTAGAGACTGCGTTTCTGCTGACACAAGGCCGTACCAACCGACGGCTGGCACTCACACATAATCCATCTAACATCTGGGTACTAGTATTCAAAAGAGAGTTACCTGGTCAAATGTCACGTCTCGGCCGAGAGGAAGTCCTCGCTCCTTAAGTTTCCTTTCCAGAATGTCACCAAACCATTCCAAGAATCTGTGCCCCGGGCAGGCTCCTTTGTTTTGCCAGACGTCCCAGAGTTGTCCAAACGTCCTCATGCCTGGGATCCAGCTCGTCTTAGTCCAACTGGTGTCTGTAGAATGAAATTGAAAAAAAAAACATGACACACGCATACAGTCTTCTTATTTCTCTGTCAATGAAAATCACAATAATTTAATTTTGTTGATCTTTTCAGTGCACTTTGAATTATATCTATTACTGTATGTTATGTCATGTGAAAACAGTTACTTCATTGTGACAAGAAGCAGCTAAAATACGCACTTAATAATTTGTTTAAAGTAACAAATTAAAAGTTGCACTTCTTTCGAAAATAGTAACTGAGTTATTAAGTTGACCATAGCGGAATTAGAAATGGAAAACGAAATGCTGTGTGTCAAAAGATTTGCGGGCAAATTTTCAATATGTAGTAGTATATTCTAAAAATGCAAATTTATTTACCCAAAACGACGTCAAGCAAGTTCTGTGCGCTCAGTTCTTCAAGCATCTCTTGTGACGTCATGCCGATGGCGAGCAGGGCGGCAGTGATTGCGCCTGCGCTAGTCCCGGCGAACCGTTTGATCTGCGGCATTATCCCGGCATCCTCTAGGACCTGTTGCGGGATGGGGGGGGGGACGGAAAACGGACAACAATTTTGTCATTTTTTAAACTTTATTTTAACTTTTTTTGAACCAGGGGCCAGGCCAAGCTTGTGTCGTTGCGGAGTTACTTGAATTTCAATCTAAACCCTCGGCGAGGTCAACAACCTGAATAACACGGCGAGTAAGACTAAACAAAGCACTCAAGTGTCAAACATTCACAACTTTCCCCTGGTTGGAGGGTGTTCGATCGGCGCTTAACGCACCTGTGATTCTGACATCATATAAATTTTCCTGTGTAAATCGGTGTGTGTGTGTGTATGTGAGAGAGAGAGAGAGAGAGAGAGAGAGAGAGAGAGAGAGAGTAGTGTGTGTGTGTGTGTGTGTGTGTGTGTGTGTGTGTGTGTGTGTGTGTGTGTGTTGT